TGATGATGTCACCTCGGCTGGTGATGAAACGTTTGCAAACAAATTGCCAAGCTCGGCGAACAGGCGAAATGGAAGTGAGTAGGACTTCTTCAGGAGAGGCTATTTGAGACGCTTGGTCGTATGAGAGCATTTCGCGAGATGCAAGGGACCGGTGACCAGCCACAACCCTAGACACCCACTCCCGACCATAGTGAGGATTTCTGAGACTGAATGAATGATAGTTCCGCATTTATGGTGTCATCGGTGCATTTTTTACCGCTGAAAATGATTTCGTTTGAATGGCACAAAGCTTCTGAACTGGAGAAACTGGCCACTCCAAGTCGGTTTCCTATAAATCGATCTCTGAATAGAACATGTGCGACGCTTTAGACAGATGTCGAGAAAACCAATCCCCTCTTCTCTCAATTTGAACTTGATGTTGGGATGAGCGGAATTAAATATCCTGAGCAAGTTCGACAACTTAACGTTACTGTCCAAAAAAAAAATAATAAGTCATCGACATCTCCTCTGTGCAGCTTACATCGCTTAATCGTGGACTTTAAAACAATATTTTCCAGCTTGGACATGAATAAATCCTTAAATAGAGGACCGAGCGGGGATCCCATTGCGACCCCATCCTTTTGGCGATAAATTTCTTCATTGAACTTGAACGTTATATGTGCAGAAGCACAATAGCTGTTTCAAGTCATTCAGGGGTGTTGCAATCTCGATACTCATTTCCTGGATTTAGTCACAAATACTCAGTGGTATCTGCGATAGGAACACTAGTGAAAAGTAAGCTAACGTCGATGGATATCATTCGTTGGTCATCCACATTACGTTCTGAGTACATCTATCAAGAAACAAGAGTCCGGTAAAGTGTGGGTTGCAAGGGTGACGCTCACTGGATCCAAAATTATCAAAAGCCATTTGGCTATTGCATATGTGGAATGTTCTACGGAACACATCCATAATTGATACTTATTTGATCTGGCATGTACCATTCTTCCCTCTCTCCGTGTGTTCAGGAAGCCCATCGAGCCAAAGTGTTCCAGGAGATCTGTTTGGCGTTTGTCGGTTTCGCACCGGGCAGTGACGAGTTGCAGGAACTGTACAATCTGGTACTCGAACACGACGGTTTGATCACAGAAGATCTGAATGATAAACGGCTCACTCACGTTGTGGTCACAGATGCCTGGCCTGGTCATGGCAACATCTTGGAGGTGAGTGTGTGTGTGTGTGTGCGGGCTCACATACGTCAGTGGCGGGGCGGCCTGGTTTCTGATATTTGCCATTTTAAAGACCACTACCCTCTCCAGGTATACCTTTTTCACAATTAGATTTCGATAAAGTTCGGTTGAGTTGCTGGACATTGAACGCGTTGGTTGGCTATTGGTCCAGAGAGAAATCACATGAA